TCCCGCTAATAATAAATCAATTCATAAGAGTATTTCGCATAAAATTAATCTCCCCTAAATCAATTCAACTCTTTTCTTACAGATCAATTCACATAAAACTAAACTACAACCTTTTCTTAAATTAAGCGATTCTCCTAAAATCAACATCGCATCCAACTCAATCGTACACGCTTGCACCACATTCACAATTCACACACTTAGCGCTTTCATGCGTATGTGCGTTTTACCTTATCTATTTTTATTCACAATTCACACACTCACTTAGCGTTTTCATGCTTTCGTGTATGTTTTATCTTTATCTGCAATTTACATTATCGCAATTTATTTTATCGCACTGCATTCCGTCCAAAGGAAAACCCTACACATGATTCAACAATTGTGTGTGGTGCACATCATTTGCATCATATTCCCCATGATCCTTGATCCCATTTAAGTCGATCTCTAGGATAGATCCTACACCATAGGGAGGACCATTATCTTTACAACTTAGATACAAATAATCAACTAAAAAAAACAAATATTCAAACACAATAGAGAAATAGATGTTAATCATCTTAAGCGAGATAGAATCTCCACCCCACATCAATACAATCAATCCGTAGGAACTTTTCCTTAAGAGAGATAGAGGCGTACATCGTCGATCAATATCCGAGTACTTGAGCCCTTCTCTTAAGACGATGCAAAGACTATTTTCCTACAACTTGTGGCGGTTAAATCTCTCTTAAAATGACAACTCATCTTTTCTCCTAAAATCAATCAATCAACTACCCTAAACCCGTAGGAACTTTGACCACAATCAAAGAACTCCTCAAACCCTTTAGGGGAACTACAGATACTCTGATTCCACTCCCATAAGGATATGTAGGCATAAGATGCGATATCTTATCGAGTATACTTAGAAAATAAACCACTAGGTCTTTTACCTTAAGCAAATAAACACTTAGCAATAAACAAACATAAAACAAGAGGTTCCTGTAGAGTACTACAGAAACTTAGGATGCTAGCACCTTCCCTAAGTTTAACCAACCCCCGAACCTAAAAATCTCTAAACCTTGAATTTGCATTACATTGTGGGAATTTCGATCTTTATCCCTTCCTTTGGACAAATCAAAGTTCGGTTGCAAATGAATTAAAGATTCAAACTAATTAATAGTTTGGTATCCAATTTTCACCGCGACAGTCATGAAATGAATGATTGACCTATAATGATGCACTATGATGCAAAAAGAGGTGGGATCTTAGGGTCAAAAATTAAGGTGTGACAACAATCTAGCAAAGCTTATAGGGTTTATAAAAAAATTACTTATTGTTGAAAATTCGGTACACGTCACTTTTGATGAGTCTTATCCGAGGAATGTCAGGAAAGGTGTTTTTTTTCGTTATGTAAGTGTATCTTCAAAAGACATTCTCAAAAATCTTGAAAAAGGAATTGATCATCCTAAAGTGATGGAACTTGAGAAAGAAGAAGATGAAGATTGTGAAAAGGAGAAGGTTGAAAGTCCAGCTGTAGTGGATGATCTTCCTTTGGCTTGGAGAACCTTCAAGGACCATCCAATCGACAACATACTTTGAGACATCACCAAAGGCGTGACAACACACTCCAAGATAAGTAATTTTTAGTCATCACTTTGTGTTCGTTTCACAAGTTGAACCTAAAAACTCAAAAGATGCCTTACTTGATGAGCATTGGCTTATGGATATGCAAGATGAATTAAACCAATTTAAAAGGAATGATGCATGAGACCTTGTCCCTTATCTGCGAGATCATCAAGTCATTGAAACTAGGTGTGTTTTTAGGAATAAACTCGGTGAAACAGAGTGATAACTCAGAATAAATCCCGACTAGTGGCTCAAGGTTATAACCAAGAGGAGTTCATTGATTATGAGGAAACTTATGCTCCGGCTGCACTCCTCGAGGCTATACACCTTCTACTAGCTTATATTTTCTCCAACGATTTCAAGTTATATCAAATGGATGTGAAGAACACCTTCCTTAATGGATATATTAATGAGGAAGTGTATGTTTCATAACCTCCTAATTTTAAAAATCATGAGTATCCTAATCATGTTTACAAACTAAAGAGATATTTGTATGGTCTCAAACAATCCTCTAGGGCTTGGTATGAGCGACTTAGTAAGTTTTTAATCGTTCAAAGATACTCTAGAGGAAAGTTATATACTACAATTTTTATTAAACGTCAAGGAAAACATACTCATCTTGTTCAAATTTATGTTGATGATATCATCTTTGGTTCCACTAACATGCAATTAGTTAAGGAGTTTTCTAAGATAATGTAGGATGAGTTTGAGATGACTCTCATGGGAGAGTTGAATTACTTTATTGGTCTTCAAATCAAGCGACTCAACGAAGGGACGTTTGTGTGTCAAACAAAGTATTGCAACGAATTGCTAAAGAAATTTGGTATGGAAGATGCAAAATCAATTAACACTCCAATGCCCACAAATGGAAACTTGAAAAAAAATATATGAAAATGGTAAGAATGTTGATGTCAATAACTATAGACATATGATTGTGCATGTGATAGAAAAACAAAGTCAGTATCGTGCGCGCTATGCAAGGTATAATGCACACGATGGTACCTTTTTTGGGTTTTTTCTGACGCGTTTCTAATCCATTATGAAGGCTTTAAAAGGGGAATTTTGGTACTTTTTCAAAGGTTCTAAAATTCTATTCAATTGCCCCTTGTTCTTAATACTTTTTATGTGAGATACATTTTTAATATGGATGTGGACACATAGGGAATACTGACTATTAGTATATGTGTTGTACCTAGGATAATTGTTCTGCTTACACTTGTCGAATAGGGATATGAGAACTCGAGTAGTGGCTTAGGAATTAATATTCTATTGCATTTCCTAATCTTGCTTACGCTGGTGGACCAGGGATAGAAAATTTCGAGTATAGATTAGTGAGATATACACCAAGGGATTAGATATATCGGTTTTTTTAATTCATCGTGGAGTTATAGTGACGATATCATTCATACATGAAACATCAACAGTAAAGAAATATGAGATTCTATACACTTTCTGAGAAGTCATCACTCCCTCTGATAGGAAGATGTAGAAAACATGATACATCGTTGAGTGTGATAGACATCTCACCAAGCGGGAGATGAAATGACAAGATCTCCAAGTGTCATCTCTCCTCGAATGCATTAAGCATCATGTGGTTGACTGTAATACAACCGGTCATGCACAAGTCCTTCATCCTAGATAAGGACAGAGCTATCTGAAATCGTCCCTCATTCTGATGAGGCAAGCGAACAATCTTTCGTCCATGATGAATAATCTTCAGCAGATAACGTACCTGTAGAAGAATAAATAAATTTCAGTAACTTGTAAACTAAAATAAACGTAAATTAAAAGAATGAATCCAACTGATGCTACCTCTCTGTCCTAGATATGTCCGGTAGTATGGTTTGGGTACAAAGACACTAGTGACAAATCTACAGGGCCTCCTCCAAATGCCTCTAGCTTAGCATCCTTTGCAGCATCATCATCTGGAGGTGGAACTGCCTTAGCAGCAACATCAACAGTATGAGGTGTCATGACTCTCTAAAAGGTGGCACTGGCTCAACAGCGTCAGTAGTAAAAGGTACCACGGGTGAATCGAGTATCTCAAGCGCCTGAATAGGTGAAACCTAGCACCTGCGGGATGATGGTGGGAGTGATGTGTCGGTAGGTAAAACTAATCTCCTAGGGGAAGAAGAAAATGTAAATGCATGTGCCCTAGAAGTAGATGGCTCTGCATAGCCATAGGGAACAAGAGCCTCTAAAACCTGACTCTTTTCTCGCTGCATTGATGCATGTTGTGCAATCCTCCTGTGCCTCAGTCTATCATGTTTATCAATCATAATTCCTGCAAGTTAAAGTAAACCAGACAATTAGTGCAAGCAATAACACCACAAGCAAGATAAAAAAAAATCTGGAAAAATTATGGCGATGCATCTCTGGTTACTAGAAAATTAAAACGTTGAAAAATTCCGGAGATGCATCTCCGAAATTTTCTGCAACACATCATGTGCGTCAATGGCGCCAATGTACATATGCAAACACAAAAATTAATGTTTGAACATCTTGTTCAGCCATCAAACGTGTTTTATACTATGTCTAAACTATCATACATGCAATTTTTACTCATTTATAACTTTAATAATCAATTTCTACTCATTTATACAAAAATTCAAAAAGTTTAAAAAAAACTTACAATTTTACACTTTGTTTCAGTGTTAGATGATGTTTCTGATATTGATTGAAGTTCCCTTGAGATTTGTTGTTTTATTTTGGACTTGGTGATGAGAAAAAGTTTGAGAGAGATTGAAGAGATTTTGAGAAGTATTAGAAATGAGGAAGGAGAACGGTTCTAGCACGATTTAAGTTTTAAAATATTTTGGAGATGTATCAACAAAATAAATTCGAAGATGTATCTCCAAAAAAATTTAATTAAAAATTAGATGTGTCCGAAAATTTATCTCTAAAATTTAAAAACATTTAAATATTTTTATATGATGTCTAAGTAACTTAATAGGTGCATAAAAAAAATCCTCTTTATTGCATTGCTGTTTGAAGCCCAAAAAGAAAACCACAACTTATCCATACTCATCTCACCATCATAATTCATACACATTTCAAATCATTTTTAGTTAATTTTTCACATGATTCAAAAGACTTGTCTCTTTCCTTCTATTCTATTACATTGTTTGATTTAGCCACTTGAAATTTAGAATCAATATATGAACAACACAAGTTATCCATACTCATCTCACCAACATCACATGAAATAGGACACAATCCTTAACTTGCTCTTATGTTATGTCTATACCATAAACGACAGAGAATCATAACAGCATAATCCAATTAGTAATCACAACCTTAATACCATGGAAATAAAACATTCACCTTAATTACATCAAATTCAAATATTAAAAAAAAAACATTATAATTGTTCTACATAAGTATCTTCTTCAAGTTGAAGATTACCTTGAAGAATTTCTTACAACTCTTGTACTTCTCTTTATAGACTCAATTCTCTGAAGCCTTATTTGTTCTCTAAATTTAGCTATGAATTCATCAGCTTTTTTATCCACATCAGGTCCTTCATCACCAACAGAATAAGAACAAGAAGGTTCCTCTGTTTTTGAACAACTTTCTTCACTCTGTTTTTGTTTTCCAACATCTTCATCTTCTTCACTTTCCGTTTCTTCATCCTCTGTTTCCATAATTACCCTTTTTTCAATAAACCTTTCTTTCTCTGTTGCCTCTTGCATTGACGAAGAATATTCCTTTTGTTCTTTGTCTTCATCTACATCCTCATCTTCCTTTTCATTGATTCCTTCTTCTATAGATTTTCCCATTGATTTGTTCCTTCCAGTTTTCTCACCATATCTTGATTTCATGAAGATTGGTTTCTGAAACATTGGTGGCGGAGGAGGTGGTGGTGGAGGAGGAAAACAAGACTTATAATTAAAACTCTTTCTCTTAATCGAATCTTCCGCGTCCTTCGCAATTGATTCGGATGGAGTGAATTTCATCACAGAAGCTTTCGCCATTGAAGCCTTTGAAGCTTTTTCAATAGCTTCTTGTTTCGGTTCCATCATTCTTGCTGATGCTGATCTTGATCTCCATGGAATAGGAGATGCAAGCACAACGTTCTCTTTCTCTTTCATCTTATCTTCACCAACACCTTCAAATTCTGCATAGTTTCTTACTCTGTTAAACGAATTGCTTGAAAATCTTTTAGACCCTGTTTTCGACGACCCATCAACAGATTGCGATTGAAGAACACCAGCATCATCAGATAAACGAGATTTCAAGCTTCGAACAGGCAAAAGAAGAGGCTTTTCGATTTCTTCTCCACCACTCTGTTCATCTTCAAAAACAGAGTCTTTCACCTGCGGAGCTACAACAACCATGGACTTATTTCTGTAGTGTTGATTCTGATTACTCCATGTTTGGAGCTTGGTGATTTCATCAGACTCTACAGATTGGTTCTGATGATCAGTTTCGTCTTCGAAAAAAGACGAAACTTGTAGAAACCGAGAGACAAGTGTTTGTGCAGAGTCGAACTTTGAGTTATTATTGTTGTTGTCTTTGTCATGTTCTTGGTTCCTACGACTGAACAAACCGTAAGAGATAGCAATACCAACGAAAAGAAGATGAAGGAGTTCCCAATTTCTTGTGAGGAGATTTTGGTTGATGAAATCAGGAGCTTGAGAAGGAAAAAGTGGAAGAATAACAAAGAATATGAGAACTATGGTGGCTTTGTATACAAAATTGTAAGAAAATTTATTTGGGTCTTGTTGGTTTTGTTTAACATTATCGGTTGATTTTTGAGGTTTCGTGGTTTGAATTGAATCTGACATTGGTAAAAGGGTATGTGGGAGGAGAGTTAGAAGAATTTGAGGTTGAGGAAAGGAAGAAAGAGGAAAGAAGGTGTGAATTTATAGGAAGAAAAAAGTAGTGTGTAAGTTTGAAGATTTTGCATTTGGTTTGATTAAAACCGATGTCAAAAGACAAATATGTGAAGCATAGTATTGCCTTTATTCCATTGGAACTTTCTCTTTCCTTCTCACCACTTGCTTTCGGTTCTAAATGAAAATGCTTTGTCTAGAATTTAGGTCATTTGTGGATGAATAGCTTCTTCCTTTAGTTAAGTGGAATTTGAAAGTTAAATTCACCAAATCATACATGAATTTTTTGGGTTTATCTAATATCTGGTCCATTCGATTGACTAATCTCGTTTGAGATCAGTTTTGACATCAAGTAATTTCAAACTCTCGATTTCAATTGTAGAGGATCAAACTATTATTTTCCGTATCAAATCTAACATCAATATCACCGGACCAATTAACGATCGATAGTTTTTACTACATTGTATTTAAGAAACTCAAACACCAAAATACCAAAGAGTAAAATTAACATTGAATGACAAACTACTATACAAATAATAAATTGTGATGCTACTACCCCAATTTGGTATTGTTGCCGCCATCTTTGTCTTTCAAATGTTTTGGTCTAGTAGTCAACAGATTTGCGTCAAACATCACTATTGCACCATTTGGTTTTCCGGTTTCAAATAGCTACACTTTTGTTTTTGTTTAGTCTTAGTTTGATTGCATCGTGTGATTATCTGGCTCCCAAATCGACACCACAAATAAGTGCCTAGCCTCAAGGGAAACTGTAAAATGCTTTGCCACTTCATATCAATATTTTTGAAACAAGCAATTATGGATTTAAAAACTTTTGTTAGTAAATTCAATAACATGGTAGTTAGATACTTATTACAAATTCTATTATTGGTTAACTAATAAAAGAAGTTAGTTAGTTAGATAATAATGATATTTTATAAAAGATGGATGTCATTTTGTACGGTAATTAATTTAATTGAATGCAATTCACTATTTTTTCCCTTTCAATTCATTTCTTATTTTATACTTTCTCTCCTTTCTTGTAGAGTAAGAAAGGCTTGCTCTAACATATTTGGTGTTATGAATCCAGATGCTTGATTGTGTTGAATATATAGATTTTGGAATTTTCATCCATTATCAACTAAGTAAAGATGAATGGTGCTAATGATTTTCAAAACACATTTTCAAATGAAAGTTTTGTTTGCCTATCAAGACACACTTGAATCGGTTGCCAATGGAGTCCCTGCAAATTCAACAGAGGCACAGAAGAATGCTCATAAGCAAGAGAAGAAGAAGAATTATAAGGATATGCACTTGATACACGTAATAATAGATGCTATAAATTTAGACAAAATTTCTCATGCTGAGAATACAAAGGAGGCATGAGATATTTTAATCAAATTCTATGAAAGAGGTAACAAAGTGAAGAGTGTGAAGCTGCAATCTTTGAGAAGGTGGAATGAATTACTATAAATGGAGAAGAATGAAATTATTGCAGCTTATGCATCAAAGATTCAAGGCTTGGTTCACGCGATGAAAAGTTGCTGTGAAGTGATGGCTGAGAAAACGTTAATTGAAAATGTGTCTACGACAATTACTCCACATTTTCATCATGTGATAGTTGTTATACAAGAATTTGGAACTTTAACAACTATGAAGATGGAAGATCTCATGTGATCACTAGAAGTACATAAGTTAAGGATCCTAGAAAGAAAGGGAGTGCAATAGTCAATTCAAGCATTCCATGCTCAAACATTCAAGAAGAATGGTGGTTTTGAGAGGCACAAAGGCAAGAAGATCCAAGATAAGTTCGAGAGGAATGCATGAGTAAGCTCGCAAAAGACTAAACTTAACCGTAAACCTGAATCCTTCAAGAAAGCAAGGGGGACATTAAACTTAAACCTACAGAAGTCTCTAAGAAAGGACAAGAATGTTGGTACAATAAAGGAAAGGAGAAAGCTTAAGACATTGGTGCGATGTGTAACGCCCATTTTAATTATTTTTGGTTTCCGGTGTTATTTTTATTCGTCGGCGTGTTTGGTGTGGGAATTGAAGAAGAATTAGAGGCATAATATTAATATTTAATAATCGATAATGATAATAATAATTAATATTAATGTCGATATTAGTATTATTATTATTATTATTAATATTAATATTATGAGATTATTAATATTATTTTGGAATAAAAGAAAAAGAGAATATTAATAAAATTGGAATAATAAGAGATATATTTGGAATTAAGGGTAACATGGGTATTTTGTGAAAAGGGAATTGGAGAAAGAAAAAGAAGAACACTGTTGTGAAAGAAGCACGCGCTTGAGACGGTGAAAAGGAAGAACAAGGTCTGAAGCAAACACAAGAGTTCGTTGGGCTGCCAACTCGTGTGGAATTCTTGAAGTTTCAGCATCATCAACTGCTTATTGAGGTAAGGGGGGGGGGGATTGATCGGTTGAATTGGTTTATGCATGAAATTGGTAGAAAAGGGGAAAATCCCTAATCCCCATAGATTGATGTTAATATGATGTTGATTTAGTGTTTATAATTCTGTGATGGTTGTGTTTATGGTGTTTGATTTCGTTGCATGTGGCTGTGGGAATTGGTTTGAGAGCATTTGGGGTTTCCGGGTAAATTCGGAGTTATACCGGAAGTTAGTAATTGCGTGGATGTAAGCGTTACCGAGCAGAAATGAGTTGGATGTTATAGTCGGGTAGTGGAACGACTTTCTGGTATGTTGGGGTTTGGCTTAGAATAGAATCGGCTGGGCTCGGAGTGCGTTGCCGACTCTGAGCTGAGAGTTGTTTTCTGCAGAATTCGCGTGCATTCGCTAGGCGAATGGGGGCGAGCCTTCGCTAGGCTTCGCCAGGCGAACTGGGCAGCGAATGCTGCCTTTTGCTTCTGTTTGGCTTCGCTAGGGGTCTCGCCGGGCGAGTCCCAGCGAGTGTTTGCTGCGGGGCTTCGCCAGGCGAATGGCAGCGAACATGACAATATTTTGTGATTTTTTCTGTTGTGCTGTTCCGTTCTCGCGTGGTTGGACCCTTGTTGGTCGTGAGCGAGTACATGGTTATTGTGGATCGGTTGAGAGCATGAAGGTGATGTAGAGGGCGTGCGCTTGAATACTCGTAAATACGAACGATTAAACTTAAGTACGCTGTGATGCCTAAAGTGGCTATGTATCCTTCGACTAGGAATGAATATGTGTGGATGCGTACGTGAGATGTATGCACAGTGTGCGAAATATGCGGATCAGTAGGATCGTTAGCATTGAGTATGTGGTAGTGATGTGTTGTGGTAAGTGGGTCCGTAGGACCGATACGCTTTGTATGCGTTGTGATTATGTGTTGTTGTGTGACGATTGGATTGGTAGGATTGGATGCACTTGTGTGCTTAATATGTATGTGATATATGATTGGATCGGTAGGATCGGCATGCCTTATGTGCATAGTGTGTGATATGTTGTGTGGTAGTGTGATCAGTAGGATCGTTACGCTTAGTGTGCGTGGTATTGATGTGTTGTGTGCGAGATATGAGGATCAATATGATCGTTATGCCTTGAGTGCGTTGTGTTGGTGTGTTGTGGTGAGTGGATTCGTGGGATCGACGCACTGTGTGTGCTTGTGTATGTATGCATATTATGATGAGTGGATCTGTAGGATCGTGTGCACTGTGTGTGTCGTGTGGTTATGCATAGTGTCTTGCATAGCATGTGGACGTGGTGAATCGTTGATCGGTGGAGCGTATGCGATTCACTCACGTGCTCCAAATGGGGAGCGTGTGGACGTGAGGCCTGTGTGGCTCACGTGCTCCAGTGGGGAGCGTGGACGGGAATTTGGATCGTTGCTCGAAAGGAGTGTATGCGATCACCCGTGTCCCAAGTGGGGGACGTTGATATGTGATTATATGAGCTCATGAGGAGCGTGGTAGGGATAGATCGTTGCTCAGAGGGAGTGTATGCGGTCTATCCTGAGTTGAGTCGGTACCGTATATTGTAGAGTCGAGTACATGTGTTGCATTGTGAATGTGCGTGTGTGATTGTTGTTGATGGGACAGTAGGTCCGGGTGTGAGATATATGAAATAAATAATTTATTGTTTTCTGCCTTTTATTTCATGTCTGTTTATACCATTAATATTTGATCGTGAATCTCACCCCTATGTTGTTGTTGTGGTCTGTGCTTCTTTGGAAGTACAGACAATCCAGGTGTTTAGCTAGCTTGGATTGTGGCGTCGTTGTAGGACATGCTCTGATACGTAACACCGGGGCTTTTGGGAGTTGTTGTCATTTGTTGTTTATGTGTGCCCCTGTGGCGTATCTGTTCTTTTGTGGGATGTGTGATGATGCTTGATGGATATATATATATATATATATATATATATATATATATATATATATATATATATATATATATATATATATATATATATATATATATATATATATATATATATATTTGGGTAGATGGCCAATTTTTGTATATATGATGATGTATATATACATGTTATGTGGTTTATGACAGAATAATTTTATTTTTCCGCTGCAACATTACTGAAAATGATTTTGAGAAATGTTATGTGGAATCTCGTGGAAAAATTGTGACATCCCGTAAGTGGGAGAAACTTTGATATGTGCTTATTTTAATCGTTTTATTTTATTTTGGGAAACGGGGTATTACACGATGAAACTAAGATAGTTCAAGATGACTGAGATGATGGCTATATAGCGTTCATGGTTGCAGTGTATGAAGATCAACATAAATTTAGATAACGATTTCTAGTAGTCGGGAGCAAACCATTATTTGGTCACTCTTTAAGCACACATCCAGTGATTTCTTGAGAAATTATTTTTAGTGGAGGAACCTACTTTGTTATGATCAACTTGCTTCTTCTTAGATACTCATTAATTATGGCAGAAGGTGTTTACATTAGGAATATCAATAGCCGGAGCCTCTACAGGTTT